CCCCAAAACCCCAAAACCCCACCTGCTAAAATTAAAGTTTACTGAGTCAGTAGGGAGATTGATTCTTTATAAAACTAATAAAATATCTTTAGTCACTAATTTATTAGATAACTCATTCTTAATGCTCAGCAAATCACTCAGAGCTCTTAGAGTTGTTTCTCTTTAGCAGAGATCCTTGACTCAAACCCAAGCCTACCTATTTGGAGTACTGACCCCAGGCAAGTCAAGATAGGAGAAGGACACATTCGGCCCAATTGAAGTACCAGGCGACAAGTATTGGGGAGCTCAGACTCAAAGATCTCTACAAAACTTCAAGATCGGAGGAGAAAGAGAGAGAATGCCAATCCCAGTTGTCAGAGCTTTTGGTCTTCTCAAGAAGGCTGCTGCTCAGGCTAACATGAGTTACGGTCTTGAGGAGAAAGTAGCAAAGGCTATCATTCAAGCTTCAGATGAGGTTGCCCAAGGTAAATTAGATGAGCACTTCCCACTAGTCGTTTGGCAAACTGGCTCAGGCACTCAATCAAATATGAATGCAAACGAAGTCATTGCCAACAGAGCAATTGAGATTCTTGGAGGGGATCTTGGATCAAAGCTTGTTCACCCAAATGACCATGTTAACAGATCACAATCATCAAATGATAGCTTCCCAACAGTCATGCATGTTGCAACCGTAATGGAAGTCAACCACAGACTGATTCCTCACCTAAAGGAGTTGACAGCTTCTCTCAAGGCAAAGAGTGAAGAATTCAAGGATATCATTAAGATTGGAAGAACTCACACTCAAGATGCTACTCCATTGACTTTAGGTTAAGAATTCGGTGGATATGTTGCCCAACTAGAACATGGTCTTAAGAGAATTGAAGCAGCTCTTCCAGGTGTTCTGGAAATTGCCCAAGGAGGTACTGCAGTTGGTACTGGACTTAACACCTATATTGGATTTGCAGAGAAGGTGGCTGAGAACTTAAGCAAAGAAACTGGATTCGATTTCGTGACAGCTCCAAACAAGTTCGAATCACTAGCTAGCAAAGATGCTCTAGTTTATCTTCATGGTGCTCTTAACACTCTTGCAGCTTCATTAATGAAGATCGCTAATGATATTAGATTCCTCGGATCAGGGCCAAGATGTGGTCTTGGTGAGTTGAGTCTTCCTGAAAACGAACCAGGTTCTTCAATCATGCCCGGCAAGGTCAACCCCACTCAATGCGAAGCTATGACTATGGTTTGTGCTTAAGTTTTTGGCAATTAAGTTGCAGTCACTGTTGGAGGTGCTAGTGGTCACTTCGAACTAAATGTATTCAAGCCTCTTATCATTAGAAACATTCTCCACTCTGTCGCCCTACTTGGAGATGCTTGTGACTCATTCAACAAGAATTGTGTAGTTGGAATTGTTGCTAACAAAGAGAGAATCAATAAATTACTTAACGAGAGTCTGATGCTTGTCACTGCTCTTAATCCCTACATTGGGTATGATAAGGCTGCTGCTATTGCCAAGAAGGCTCACAAGGAACACTCTACTCTCGAAGAGGCAGCACTTAAACTAGGCTACCTAACAAAAGAGCAATTCAAGGAATGGGTTATTCCAGAGAACATGCTTGGACCTGAGGAATTCAAAAAATGAGCATTAGGTCATGATTTAGACTAAGTCATTCACTCACATCTCATTTCATTGCGTGTGGATGAATGCAGACTATTTTATTTAAAATTTTCAATTCACACACTTGAGTTAATCCAATATTTCAGGGGTTTTGGGGTTTTGGGGAGATCGGAAG